AATATTACAGTGATAAATTAAAATTGGAGGGGGGGAATGATAAAAGAAACTTCAACATGCATTACTAAGTTTACATTTTATATGTAATACTAGGTACTATATATGTAAGAATTATTTAAAATAAATTAGTTTATTTTGTATACTAATTAACAAATTTGGATATATTATATTTAAAAACACATTTTTTGTAGGATAATGACAAATCACTCAATTGCTGGGTAATAATGGATTCCTCAAAATTTTTCAAATCTGATGTCCATCCGAAAATCTGTGTACCTGCAAAATAATATGTTTTAAAAATATCATGGATTAAACCGTCATGAATACTTATCTGCACTTCACTCCGAATCTATAATAGACACTAATTTTTTCTGACTCGTTATAATGTTAATGTCTGTGAAAATAATTGTTGTATAGTTGCAGGGTGGATATAAGATAAAAACATTTTTCAAAATCACAATATAAATAATTTGAGAAAATTAATGTCTTGAGTTAAAAACACCCAATCTGTATTAAATAAAAATATATTTTCTGCATAACTTATAAATTCACGAGTATTAATATTATAGATTTAAATCCAAATTAATGATTATAGGTATATTTAATTCGTTGCTATGAATATATTATGATATATACTCAGTGCCCAGTGGGTATATAGAACATTTCGAATTGTTGGTACTTATTATTCTATACAAGTGTTCAAAAATATTATTATTCACCAATACTTATCAACTTTCAAATTTCAATACAGGCATACACCTACATAAAATAAAATTGTATAGCATTATAATTTATAGTAAATTATAGTAAGTACCTATTACCCATATACATTCGTAAAGTACGTTGTTACATACTTCTCTATACTATAATTATTTTCAGAAAAAAATTACAATTATGGATTAAATTCAATAATATTAATTTACATTATAGTAACATAATATGTAATATTGTTGTTACTTTATTATCTTATTGTTTTTTAGTAAGTTTCTGTTTGACTGAATTAATTGTTTGTATATAATTTACTATTGACACACTAATAATAATTATTATATGTATTTTTTAATAAATCAACAATTACTGGTTTTAATTTTTATCGAATGGTTGTGCATACTATATATAAAGATAATGTAATTATTGAAATACTGATAATAATATAGGTATATCATAATGATATTCAATACGATAATTATAATAGTTAGGTCCCTAACCTACATTTATTACGGTAAAATCATTTGTTAATTTCCTAAACACGTTTTTATTGTTGACATTAAAACAAAAATAGGTAAATATTACAGTTTAGATATTGTAGATTAACTGGCATATAGTATATATTATATTGACAGCTGGTGAAGATAATATATATATATAGGCGTGAGTACAGCGTAGCTTAATAAAAATGCAATATCTGTCACGTAAAAAAAAAAAAAATTATAAAAATTATAAAATTATAAAAATGAAACACATACAGCAATATATTATGAATCTAAACTCTTCAATAAGGAATTATTAGAAATTAGGTACCTACACTATATCTAACCAGCCAAAAAAATGTAAATAAGAAAATACAAATAATATTATATATATAATATATGTAGGTATAGGTACCAATGTACCATAATAGGTGTACCTATACATTTTTAAATTTTTTAAGCTGATTCAATCATACACTAAAAATATTCAATGAATACAAAATATGTATAGATCGGGTAAATTAGTCATTTAAGAGACTATTATATAATATACTGAAAATTACTGCTATTGGTTAAACTGTATTTTTGATTTAAGCACTGCAATGTAACCTGCAAAATATCCTACAACGTTTGTATAATGCTGCAGATATGTATGAATTTATACTTCACAACTTTATAACGAAGGAGGCTGCAAAACTTTATCACCGTGACAATATAGGTACTTATTACAGTTATTGAGTACATATCATATATTATATCATTATAAACTCATACCACCAGTAAAAGGCAACCATAAGATATATGGAATATTTTTGTGCCCGACATAATTGCGTAGGTACAGGTTTACTATATATATATATATGTGGCTATATCGAGTCACGTATGGAACTCGACATAACAAAAAATAAAAATATACTCATTATATTATACTTACGTTATATTATATATAGGTTCAACTTTGTAGTATATTATATTATATATAATAGGTGTATACATTTCATGGGGTGATAAAAGGATTATTATTAATCATCAAAAAATTATAATATTATATTATGTATATGTATAGGTACCTATTATAGAGATATGAACGCACTGCATGACGTGTCTGCAGCAGCCGCGTTCAATGTCTACAAGTACTCGCGGTTCTGTTCGGCATAATTAATATATTATATTATTATATTGCTCTGCTATGCACTATAATATGCAGTCTGTCGTCCAATTTGCACGCAAACTGACGTGCACCAATAATGACATCGCTGCAGAAATGTATATAATTGTAAATATATAATAAAATATATTATGTGCAATATATATGCACACATACAATGTGTATAATATCTATTATAATAGTCTCGGTAACAGAATCTAAAACCAAAAAATCTTGTATATTATATCTTGTAACTATAGAATACATAAATAAATAAAATTCGAATACATACAACTACAAGGAACCGGTAATTTGAAAAAAGTATATTTTATTTTTTTGTTTTGATAAATCATAGTTGTATTTACTTTGATATTGCTTCTCGTTATGAAATTATAATTTTAATTAAAAATGTATAAATATATGATGAATCTAAATGTCCGATGATAAAATACTGCAGCAGCCATATCATACAATATTTAACTATGTTATATTTAATATATAAAGTATATTTTATATCATGCAGTTTATCAAACAATTTTTGACCAAAATAAATTATCAGCAATTTCTGAGAAGCAAAACGGGTTAGGTTGAAAATACCAGAATACACCCCAAAAACGTAACCGAAACCTTAGTTTTGTATTTTTATATGAACCTGTAAAGCCTATACAATCATTATGACTTCAGTACGTTAATTATTATAGACTGACCAATTCATGAATCGCCTAAAACTGCAGTTATGCCTATAATGTATATTTATAAATTATAATAAAATATAATAATGACGAACTATAGGTATATGGAGAAGATCCTTATCATGTGCAGTGAAACGCATATATTGTGCCAATAATAATAACGTAGATAGTCACGGAAGACTAGAGAAGGGTTCATACTACACCGTGACGTGTTGTTTTGTGTTTTTATGTTTATACCAAAATGCAACATGGTCAAAAGTTTAATATATTCAACTATGCGGTATCCTTTGGTAACTGCAGTGGTATGTTACACGACACGGTGAAGTGTGAATTTGGCTTTATTTGCGAACTTGTGCAGGAGTAAAAACTGCTGTATAATATTATCTAAATTCTAAGTAGTAACTAGTGAGTATAGGTACCTAATTTTATATAACTACCTATGTCCTATATAGCCATATAGGTAGATAATATATTGCAACAAATATTATCAGCATACAATAAATCTGTTAAACTATGTATTATTTTCGTTTTAACCATTAATAACCACTTAGTTCTTCTCCAATATTAGGTTTATGTTTTATAATTATTTTAACGAGCTAGGCCTTTTTTAACGTGCCTAGTAGGTAAGTAAAATGTCTATATAATTAGTAAAACTAGCAATAGAATATTCTTAATTATATTTATGGGTAGTTAAAATATTAAATGAACATTGGTAAAATAATATATAGGTAAATATTAAAAAACTAAATATGTAGTTTGCATCATACATTTACACAAAACCAAAAATTTACGTTTGAAAGTTTGGGTCAACATTGGCGTTTGTTGTCATTATATAGCCTCAAAGTGGCTTAATATCTATACAGTCGTAGCCAACACCTCTTGATCGGCATAATATTAGGAAGGTACCTATAACAATACTTACCTACCTATACATATCATATACCTACAATAATAATATTATTATAAATCAGTAATCTCGATACCTATTCAATTAAAAATATTATTATGTTATCTATTATTTTATGGCAGGCCGATATATGACGATGAATATACCTACCTACCTATAACATATGAACCACGCGCGGGTGTACCTATATATACCACGAGTCCGCTCGGCGGTAAAGAAATCGAGAAGAAAGGACGAAAAGCGGTTGCAGGAGGAGAAGCGGCGGCGTAGGAGGAAGACGACGACGCGCGCGGACTTTCGGTGGAGGAGTGAGGGAGGGGAAAGACCGTCGCACCAATGCGCCGAGAAAGAGAAGAGGCGAGCGAGAGGGTATTATTCGGGCGCGCATACCGTATTCTTTTCCCCTCCTTTCGGAAAAATCCTAAGTGGGTGTTACGCGGCCGTCGGTGCGGTACGGCGCGCGCGGTCCCCATCGTTGCGGCGCCCCGGCCGGGCACGCCCGGCCGGCCAATCGCGGGACGGCCGCGGCCACGCCCGCTTCGCCGCCGCCGGGACGCCGCCGCCGGTCCGACCGAGCGACCGACACGGCGCGCACACCGGCACTGGATCCCTGTGGACGCGGTGCGTTTCGGCGGCACACACTTGCACTGACACACTCGCACGCACACACACGTACTCGTCTAATATACACGCGATCGCGCGCACGCCGTCCGCCGCGCTGCAGTTTTCGTCCGACCAGCGATACACCGTCCGCAAACGCTTACCGGAGCGCACGTGCCGGGCACGATATACGACAAAATACCTAACAGTAATAATAATATAGTGATAATATAACGGTCGCCACAACACACGTCTATAATAATAATAAGAATATACAATAATAATATACCTATAAAATATATATTATTAAAGCATTGTTTTTATCGTTATAATATTATTACCGATACTCGCGTGACAGTGAAATAACATATTATTATAAAGTCATTAATTCGCGTATATACGCACGCATAGCTACGACGACGACGACAACGACGGCCGCAGCGGGCGCAGATGTGCAGCGCGCGATGAGCGTGGCCGCCAAAGACAAGACGATGCCGCAGCGGTCGCCGTTTGCCATACAGGAGCTGTTGGGCCTGACCGACAGCAACAGGAGCCCCTCGGCCGCCGTGTCAGCCGTCACCCCCCAGTACCCGCAACCGCCGGCGCCACCGTCGGCGCCAGGGCCCGCCGGCCCGTCGTCGTGCTTTGCCGCTGATCGGGACGCTAACCGGATGCACCACCACGGCCACCATCACGGCCACCACCACGGTCACCACCACCACAGCCACCACAGTCAGATGGTGGCCAGCCGGTTCGCATACTTCAACGCCCAGGCCGCCGTGGCCGCGGCGTTCCTGCCACACAACATGAACTCGCTGGCCGCCGCCGTGGGCATGACAGCCGCCGCGGCCGCCAACAACAACGGTGGAGCGCCGCTATCGCTCACCTCCAATCACTCGGCCGCCGCAGCCGCCGCTGCAGCCGCCGCCGCTGCCGGTAAGTCGTCTGAAATTAATATTATCCGCACGTCATACCTACTACAGTGGTGCCGAAGCCGAACACGTAGGTACTTCAATTGAACTGCCTTAAAAATTGAGTGGGTGGGTGCAGGGTGGGCAAAATACTTCCTATAGTCTATCTGATATAATTTTCAAAAAAGGAATGTTATTGTATTATTAATTATTTATACATGACTAGTTAAACCCGTTTTTCAGTCGTTCGAGGTGGGTTAATCAACTATTTGAACTGTCAGTTCTAATTTAATTCGGCGCCACTGTACCTATACCTATCAACTATTCTGCAGGATATTAGATATTATTATTATGTTAGATTTTCGTCGCAAAAGTGTAGTGGTAGTAATATTATAATATATCGTGTGAACCTCGTTTATTGTATTTTCTAAGGAATAGCCTTAATAGTTATTATAGTATAGGTAGGCACATATCATGGAGTTGGATCTTTAAGTCCGCTTGTGTCCGGCCGTGAATTGAAAGATTAGGAACTCATTTAGTGATGATAATAATATGATAAACCAACTTTAACTGTTGCCTATATAGGGTTGACACTGTACAGGTTATATAGATATTACAGGATCTTTGAATTTCGCTTTATTGGTTAAAAAATAAAATAAACATCGAATCTTAAACTATATGTTAGGTTAGGTCATTGTACATGGTATACCTATATAATACCTATATGCAATATAGGTATTATTGTACTGCAGCAGTGCTCGAATTAATTGTGAATGCTTTTATACACCTATACTTATTAGAGTTAGATTTTAGTTCATTAGTGCATACATACCCTAGCAGATGTGTATATAGGTACATCAGATGTTATTCTGTTCCTTTTTGTTCATAAAATTATTATACCTACTTGAGATGTTTTTTACTTAAACAAAGAATATGTCAAACCAGATAGGCAATAACTATTGTAGATACCAATTTCTAATAATTTCTCTTATATAATACTCTATTATATTATACCTAATCGATCTGCAAGTAAAGTTTAACACTGATAAGGATTAATTATTTGGTGTATATTGTTATTATAACTTATGTACAATTTAAACGTTATTTACCATTTTACATATACACTGCGATTACCTATATACCATTGTATAGTTTTCACTATAACTTATCAGATAATCTTAAATTTTCAAATTAGAACTAAATCTTAACATTTGAATAGCTTGAGCATATTATATCCCTATTATATAATTAAAAACATTTTCAAAAATCTTCAAAATTGTTCCGTTGTATCTACATATTAATATAGTTCAGACAGTTCAGTTAAAGACAAAGTACCTACCTGTATGGCTGTATGTGTATATCAAATAACTATATGAGTTTCAGGGTATACTATAAATGTAAAATATAATAAATGTAACTCCTGATTACTGATATAAATAAGTTATTAAGCTTTCATGCTTCTATTAAATCATGTCACAAGTTATAATTGTTTGTATGAAATATAATACAATTTGGCTTATAATACATTTGAGCACTGATGAATAATATACATCTATATACTTAGGAAGGGTTTAAGTAAGTTAAACTCCGCAATAATTATTATTTTATTGTAATATTAACTATGATCAAACGACAAACACATTTAGTCTAACCTATACAAACCATCTATAAGTAGTTACCTAAACATGACGAAGACATGAAAATAATTTCCAATATTTTGATTTGATATGAACTATGTTTTAATATGCATATAATATATAGTATGACAGAATGTCATTGTAATCCCTTTTATTTTTAATTCTATTATTTATACTTAATCAAAATTGTAAGATAGTACCTAGGGGTCACTATAATAATATACATAGGTTATTTATTTTATTTATTCGTATGACGTATACCTATAATTCATATTATAATAGATACTTTATAGTTGAGTTTTAGTGGTAAAATGTAGGTATATACCTACCTAAATGGCTAAATAAGTTGGTAAATTTAGTTGGTTAATTTTAAATTACGACTGTTCATTAAATTTATAGTAGGTACCTATATAGGTATAAGGAAACTAATTTTGTTTAAATTATAAAATATCACATAAATTATGATCGATATAATTAACTTGTCTATCTACTTATAGATTACTTTATAGACGTTGTATGAATAATATAACATTGAATATAAATAAGAATTAATTAATTAAATTACATAGAATTTAAAGGTATTAATTGAAACTAGTAAAATAATGAAATTATAAGTAGCCTATAGCACCTATACATACAATAAAATAAGAATATTATTATTTTGTTCAACTTTTAAAATATATAGTATATGTGTAATAATATATTTTTATTATATTTACATATTATACACAATACACTGAGAAATATACCCAATTATTACTCAAATTAACCTGATACCAACGTCCCATACAGGATTAAAAACTTAATTATATATAATTAAACAAATAATAATTCAATCGAATTCATAAAAGTATTTTAAATATTAGGTTTATAACACATCGTTCATAAAACTGCTTAATTAATTAATTGAAAAAGTATTCATGAATAGTAATATAATATATTTAATGACATTTAACAAAACTATTTTAATATCATAATAATGATGTATTAAATTTAAATATTCAAATTAATATTCTGAAGTACCTACTTTTATTTTAACTTAAAATACGTTAATAATAAACTATAATTAGAAATAATAACTAAAGAAATGAGAACACGTATAAAATAAAACATTACTATTGTACACAAAATAATATTAAATTAATGATTAATTAAAATATTATATGCATTTAATTTTCACACTGCAGTTATTCACAATTAATAATTCTGAAAATGTTAATATTACTATACCTATACATAAATAATTATATCACTATACGGCATGCATCAGCTCTACATATTTTACCATAATATACTAAATATAGTACACCCATTGATTTTCTAAAATATTATGTACCTATTCTAAATATATTTCGATAAATGAACATTATTAAACATCTCCAGTTTTATTCGTGTAAATCTAAACTCAATCCAATGCGTATTATGTTTATTAGGTATTAAACTGATTCAAGCTCTATTTAAAAAAAAAAAATATTGTTAGAAATTGTTAGATTAATCTGTATTAGTTTTAGAGATTTAGCACAATTTCATTTTATATATTTTGTGTCAATATTTAATTCCGGTCTTCCAGCCGAAAGCAGTATATTGGCTTTAATGCAGCTTGTCGCAAATCCAAGTACTTCCGAGTTGAAATTACCAACCAATTTCGTACGGAGGCATTCTCAGTTTTTCCCGCACCTAGCAACCAATCGGTCGAAATTGAATTTATACTAAATGGGATGGGCTTCCTTTACATGCATATAATTTGTATACGAAATCGAAAAGTTTCCAAATGCAATTCTCCGGTCGGAAGACCCGCCGTCAACCGTAAATTGACTTAACTTAATAATTCATATGTAACAAGGAAATTAAAAAAAAAAAAAAAAAAAAACCAGAACTATCCGCCAGCCACTTGATGCGTATTATCCGATTGCGATCGATTAAAATTGTCGGATCGGCATTAGGTATAAACTATAAAGTAATATTGAAACACAATTAGTATACGCGGTAACTGTCCAATATAGCAATAATCTATCGATAATTAATATTCAATGGGCCGTACCTTAATGTGTGTGAGTGAAAAATAAATGTCATTCATTTTCTAGCCACCCGGAAGTGCGGAATGCTTGACGAGATGTTTTATTTCAACCAGGTCTTGATTAAGTGTTGTATAGGTTGGTTTGGTGCACAATGATAATAATAAAATATTCACTGAATTATTAAACTAATAAGTAGGTATATTTTCTAAACAAAGTGATGATAATCTTATAGAAAATACAAAAAGTGCGTTAAAAAACCTACTTCATATTATAAATTATAATGCATTTAAAAACGTACAGGTATTTAAATTATACACACTCAAGTCTTAAGGGGAATCGTTGTTAAATATATTATAAAGTTATCATGATAATACCAACTACTACCGCTTATTAGATTTTATTTGATCTAATCTAATACATAATAAACATATTATAATATTTTATGAATTTGTTTTATATGTATTTTATTTATAGCTAGGATAAACATATAATAATTTCAATAAAAATGTAAAAATCTAATATAAATTATTATACCTAGGTATGCATTACATTTAACTATTCAGTACTTATTCAATATACATAGGTAGTAAAATATTTCAGTAACACAAATTTGTATTTATTTTTTTAATAGTTGTACAGTGACTATAAATGTATGTTATATGCTTATACCTATATATACCTACGGAAAATTTTGATAATTAATTTAAATTTTATATTACTTTCAAAAAAAAATTCCAAAAATTCAAGATACACTTTTAACATCACTATACGGCACACGCTTTGGGAAACTCTGCAGATGATCTTCATGAACAAGTGTTTCATCAAATGTTCTGTCTTGAATCAAATCAGTTTTTTAACTTAAGTTTACACTTTTTTATTTATAACTTATATAGGTACTTTTAACTTTATTATCGTTATTACATTTATATATTATACATGATTTAGTTTCAAATATATTCGTAAATGTTTAGGTATATACTAAATACTTGGTATAGTTGATAACCAACATAATAATTATAGTATAGTTGATGATATATATTTTAACAGTCGTAAATGTTTCTGTAGATTAGGTGCACAGTATACAATACGCAGTATATAAGTATAAAATATTTTACAAACATATCTTTTTAGTATCATTTCCAAGTTGCTACTAACTTGTTCTAACGTAAATTATTATACGTCTTCTAAGTCGTTCGTTTTATTATCTTTCATCTCGAACAAACCATTGAATATAATAGGTATGTATAGTGTATACCTACCTAATAGTGTATTTTTTGGTTGAGAAAAAACCATTTCGTTAATTAAAATGAAATGAATAACGCTTATAAATAGTTTAAAGTTCTATATACAATTACTAATGAGTAATGAAT